GATCTGTGTGAACAATCAACACTAGTCCTCAGTTAATAAGGACTGTGTGAACAATCAACACTTGTCCTCAGTTAATAAACTAATGTTTATCTTTATTTGCAAGTGTGGGAGAGTGTGGTACCTAGTTTGAATAGTTAAAAAGTGTTTTACCAGTAATTTCTAATGGTTTAACCCATTAGTTAATAAAACACTTGGTCTTAGAATGAGTAATCCGAAGTTCCATTTATGTACATGAGAAACAAAGTTGGGATTACCACACTAAGCTCTATAAAGTTATACTTATTCTACAAACCAGGTAGTTTAACTACAGAAAAAAAAATAATTTAAATGTTGAGTATAATAGTTATATATATATATATATATAATTTACAAACAACAAGGGACACATTGGTCCATCATGTACTAGAAACTTTGGGATGAAAATGTTGTCATACAGACAGCTTAAGATTTGTGAAATAGTTTTTCTCATTAAAAAATGAAGAGTTAGAGGAGATCTAATTGAGTTGTTTAAGATTGTTGAGGGAAGTGATAGTATTAGTGCATCATCTTTGTTTTTCATACTTAATGGTGAGAATAGTAGGACTGGAGGGATAAATATAAATTTTGGAAGGGTAGGAGTCATCTTCGGCCAAGACAGCTTTATTTTCTCCAACAGTAACAGGCTGTTTGATCTTTGGAATAAGTTGCTTTTAAATGTGGTGGATGCAGTTTTAATATAGTTTAGGGGTGGCGATAAATATTTGAATGATAAGGGCAGGCTTTGAGTGATTTATCTTATTTTCTTAAACTTTCATTGAAGTTAAAATTTAGTGGATCATAGTAGTAGTACTTCTCCTCTGAACTCTCTCCAACAATTCATCGTAATCTGTAATTTGTAAAGCACTCAAGCCCGAATAAAAACAATACACCAATTATGGCCTAACCAATGACCTGTAACCTGTACAATGAATTTAAAACCTATTTAGACTATAGTGCTGCTCCATTCCCTGGATTACTAATACTATATTAATTTTAAATTTAATATTGATAATTTGATTCTCAACTCTCCCTTTATTTTTCAAGTTATGAAACTTTAATTAAAATATTATTGAATAATATAATTCTGAAAAAAAGTTCAAATACTTAATATAGAGCAAATATTCTTTCGACGTTTTATTCGACAATTCAAACTGAACAAGTTACATACCTCTATAGCCTTAATAATAATATTTTCAAATGATTTCTAACCAACAATTTTCACTTCTCTCTCTACCATAGAAATAAATTTTCAAGTATTATGACTTTAGCGCCATCTAAATGAATGAATAAATAAACGATTTTAAATTAAATAGAAATAAAAAAATATTTATGCGTTATTTATGATATTAGAATCAGTGTAGTTTATTCTTTGTCCAGTTGCTTTTGTATGTGTTGCTGCTTTCTATTATTTGTATCAACAAATAAAACAAACTATAAAAAACATTTTGTTATTTCAAATTTAGTTTTTAAACATATACCAGATTTTCCTATATATGTGTCTCCAAAGGTACATGATACATCTATGAGCAGATTTGTTTAATCTGGATCAAATGGCTGTGACTGCTTTGCTCTGGTTGTGAAATAACGATGAAAGCGCTAACTTGCCTTCTATTCAGAACACACTGATTTTGAATATGTGTGTATTATGCAACAAACACAAGCTTCTCCTAGGGGTGACGTATAGATATTAATGTTGGAAAGATTATGTAGATATGTGATAATAATTAGTCAAATGAAATGTGACCTCGTGGTCTAAATAAAAAGCCTTCCTTGGTCTTGAAAACGGATAAGTTCACGAGATACAGGTAAAGATAGTTATTACTCGATATTGTTCTTGATATTGAGAAGTGGTTTAATTTTGAAACATTGTGTTATTCTCTGTTGGGTTTCTGTTTTCTAGTTCTTTTTCCTCATTTGTTAGATATTATTGAAATTAGTAACATTAAAAAAATTATGTTGTATTGTTTACTAACGTTTGTACCTAATCCTGGCCAAGCAGAGGTTTATTATTATTATTTTTGGAAGTGATAAAATGTGTATTCTAGTTGTTCTAAGGATTTTTTTTTTGATTTGTTGTTATATTTAATAAATTGTTTTTGTTTCACCCTGGTTGTGGCGGCGTTTTGTCTAGGCCGTTATATGGTCATTATGATTTTGTTCTTGTCTTGTTTCATGTTGAATTTTTACGAGTTTTCGCATTTAGAAGTTTAGTTAGATGTATATGAAATAATAGAAAGTACACTACTTTTTCATTTTGTGGAACAAGTAACTTTGCATAAAAGTTTCTCCAGTATCAATTAAGAATGTAATAACGTACTACACTGTATGTTTGTTTAAACTCATAGTTTGTTTAAAATTAAACTCACTAAACTTATTTTCGTTTTTCCTATAACCCCTAAAACTCGAAAAATTGCATTGATGAAAAAGGTTTCTAACTTTAACTCTTCCCAAGAGCTAATTGCATCAAGTGAAGACTAGACATCTTGTCTGATTCTTTTACTGAAACAACAAATTAATTTTAATTAACATTCCAAGTTGTTCTTATCAACAAACTGGCAATAGCTGCTGGTGAACTCGCCCATTATCCTTGCTGATCTTTAGCCAGTTGATCTATCAGGCACTATTTTATTGCCAGAAAATCGATAGCTTATTGTCATACTTAAAATAGTGAGGCCTGAGACAAAATGGATTTGTCTAGAATTTTTACATAGATTTTATGCAGATTACTAACACAGTCTTTGAATAAAATTTTACTTAGATTTTATTTCACTAACTTTTACTAGATTTTCACCAAGATTTCGCCTAGATCTTAATTGTGTTAATGTTAAAAGAGATTTTTAATAGAATGACAGTTAGATTCATTTTAGATTTGAGCAGTGTTTCTATAACTTTTACATAAGAACTCTTACAGTTCTTGCTTTTAATTTCCCTTAACACGTTTGTATATTTTTGTATAGTTTTACTCTCTTGTAACTTTAAAATTAACTTTTTATTTTCGTTTGTCTGAGTGCCATTTGGCTTTCACCTGTAACTTAGTTAAGTATTTAAGTTCCTCAGTGAGCAAATCTATATAAATATTGTCCCAAACTTACTCTTTGGTAGTATATATAAATGTAAGTTAAACAGGTGTGTTGGGCTAAGGATTCGTCTACAATAGGTGTCTGTGACTTGTTGGTGATAAATTCAAATAATAAACGGACAGCACGCACTCCACTTGTTTTCAAATAACATATTCAAAACAAGTTAAACGTGTGTACAAAAATAATTTACATTATGTATATCATAATGTAAATTAATAATTATGTATATCATAATTTACATTATGTATATTTAAGATACAGTTCTCTTCTTGTTGTCGCAAGTTCACTTAGGTCAATTCAATTGCTTTAGAATTCAGTTGACAAATCGAACTATTTTTTTCTGAAACACCTTCAATGTATAAATCACTTTTTTTTCTCTCCCTTTTTTCCTTTTATCATAACAGTATCGGTGTATAATTCACTTACGCTGTCGTTGAATTACTGCAGTTGTATCCTGTACTTTCGAAACTCGTCTGCTTTTTTTTTTTGTATTTAGGCTTACTTCCGATAAACGTATTGTTGCGTCAGCGAGGTCACGTGACTAGTGTCACGCCACCTATTTTCTAGAAATATCTTGTTCCTTCGTGAATGCCCTAGCATTTACTAGATATATGTTTGTCTGGTATATATATAAGACACTCACAACGTGAGATGACAATGTGTGTGTAAGGTAGTGAGTAATTGAACTGCAGTCAGAGAGACTATTGTTAAGCAGTGAGAAGTTCGTTGAGAATTATAGTGTTTGTTACAGAGCGACTGTTGAAATTAAGTGTATCGGTAAAGTTTTATTCAGAAATAATAAACCAGTTTTATTTAAGAAAGGACTTGTGTCGCTAAAGTTTCGTCGGAACGAATTTACGGAAAATTAAATAAGGAACGGAGACGTAACAACTGAAACAACAACTTAATTTTATTTAACATTCCAAGTTGTTCTTATCAACAAACTGGCAATAGCTGCTGGTGAACTCGCCCATTATCCTTGCTGATCTTTAGCCAGTTAATCTATCAGGCATTATTTTATTGCCAGAAAATCGATAGCTTATTGTCATACTTAAAATAGTGAGGCCTGAGACAAAATGGATTTGTCTAGAATTTTTACATAGATTTTATGCAGATTACTAACACAGTCTTTGAATAAAATTTTACTTAGATTTTATTTCATTAACTTTTGCTAGATTTTCACCCAGATTTCGCCTAGATCTTAATTGTGTTAATGTTAAAAGAGATCTTTAACAGAATGACAGTTAGATTCATTTTAGATTTGAGCAGTGTTTCTGTAACTGTTACATGAGAACTCTTACAGTTCTTGCTTTTAATTGCCCTTAACACGTTTGTATATTTTTGTATAGTTTTACTCTCTTGTAACTTTAAAATTATCTTTTTATTTTCGTTTGTCTGAGTGCCATTTGGCTTTCACTTGTAACTTAGTTAAGTATTTAAGTTCCTCAGTGAGCAAATCTATATAAATATTGTCCAAAACTTACTCTTTGGTAGTATATATAAATGTAATTTAAACAGGTGTGTTGGGCTAAGGATTCGTCTACAATAGGTGTCTGTGACATATTCTAAACAAGTTAAACGTGTGTACAAAAATAATTTACATTATGTATATCATAGTTGTATCTTACATACTATACAGTTCTCTTCTTGTTGTCTGAAGTTCACTTAGCCCAATTCAATTGCTTTAGAATTCAGTTGACAAGTCGAACTATTTTTCTCTGAAACACCTTCAATGTATAAATCACTTTTTTTTCTCTCCCTTTTTTCCTTTTATCATAACAGTATCGGTGTATAATTCACTTACGCTGTCGTTGAATTACTGCAGTTGTATCCTGTACTTTCGAAACTCGTCTGCTTTTTTTTTGTATTTAGGCTTACTTCCGATAAACGTATGTTTTTCGCATAGAGGTCTACTTACAAATAATCGTTTGCTTTTTTGTCAAAGTCCTCACAGGCAGGTTCAATTGCTTTAGAACACCCTTTGACAAAACAAATTATTCTCCTAAAATGTCAGAAAAGTGTTGATCTCACTTAATTAACATATCAACTAACCTTTCTCTAACCGAAACTCTCTTTTGCTCGGCTTTACTTTACCCCCTCTGGTTTCTCGTCTGATAACTCTTTATATCTTAGACTGAGGCGTTCTAAAAATCTTCTTAGCCTCGATATCAATTACTTACAAACACAACTTCTAATAATCGTCTGCTTTTAACTCTCTTAATTATGAAAAACTAAAGAACGATGAAATATTAACTCACAAAATGAATTAATTAATACTACCTACAGTAAACAGTGTTTTATATCTGAGAAATATACTAGTACTGTCTGTTGTATATCCATGTAACTACTTCGCCCTCTGTGGATGGATCTTCACAAAATTTGATATGGAGGCTCATTGGGTCTATGGGGAGATATGTACAAATTTTCAGAGTTGCATTTTGCAGTTTTTATGGGCGTTTTTAACACCATTTCGCCCTGTTAGTGGATCTTCACCAAATTTGACAGGAAGGTTTGTTGGGTCTAAGTGGAGATACGTCCAAACTTTAGGTTTCACGTTTCGTGTTTTGTAGTTTTTATGGTCGTTTTTGCGTTTATTACTATTACATATAAGGGAAGAAACTTTTCATGTCCTAAGATAACCTTTCATTAATCATGAATATAGATATCTTCCATCCAGGGGACGGGTACTGCAGCTAGTAGTGTATAATTTGCCCCACATGATAGTGAAGCATAGAATTTTATTCAAAGCAAGGTTAAGATGAGAGATCCTTTGTGTTACATTTTAATATAAGGACATTCTCTGTATGTAATTCTCTTTTATATGCTCACTTAAGTTACAGGAAGGAACATGTGCATTAGCAATAACATATTATTTAATAAAGTCGTCATCACTCTTGCTAGACGTACACACATGTGCTCGATCAGTTGCTTTATATTGTGTAACAGTGCTTTGTTGTTTTTGCATAAACTGTCAAGGTTTCTATTATAGATTAGTTCCTTGTGTAAATCTATGTGTCTTATCTCATTTGTCTGGCACAAATGGCACACTTATTAGGAAACACACCTGCATACAAGATCTGTGAACCCCTATTTTTGCACACCCGAACTTTTCTGCTTTACAAAGAAGCATCGAGACACCTCAAGAAGAATTACTACAGTGAT